CAACTACTACTAAATAAATGCAATCCATTCAAGGCTGCTACACCCAAGTGCTGACAACTGGCTTAAAGTTATTATGTTAGCAAGGCCTATAAAAAGACAATTCTCGCCCTGTTTTGTTAATATGTTGCTGGTTTGGTAAACGGTTAAAGGGCAAGTCTATCCAACATTAATATTTTGCTGATGTGTAAGTGTGATAGCACTAATAGAAGCGAGGAATTGATACTGATGAATATAACAAAGTTCAGTCATCCTTCAAAGAGTGTAGGTCGACATTGTTCTGGTCTCGGGCTGCTGCCTCTCTGATGGTCTCGAGAACACACATGGATTATCGATGCCAAACTTTGGGGTGTGTACTGAGGAGTGCCCAGTAAAAAAAAGTTGACAATCAAAAAGGTCAAATCCAAATATTTGCTGAATTAAAGTAGCAGATGAAGACTATGCGTATTGGGCAAACTGCCTCCCCCTTCCTCGTGGCTGGAACCATGGATCTGATTGGATCAAGCACTTGTATAGGTCTCCTACTTTCTCATTGTGAGTCCAAACTTTCAAACCTGGACACACTGCAATCTGCCGGCAGGTCGATTTGACCTTTGAGCGTCAAACTTTTTTTTTTTACTGGGCTTTCAACACTAATATTTTGGAACAGTTTCAGTAACAGCAGCTGTGCTATTTTAGTTATGGAGTCTCACTTCTAATGTTGGGGGAAAAAGGAGTTTCTATCTTTCTTCTGCAGTTTCTGAGATTACTAATCAAACAGGAAGAGCAAGACCCTCTTAGAATGGTAGTGGCAGGTGGGTGGACCTTGTCAATTTCAGCTTTAAGGTCTCTACACAGGGGGAAAACTCTAATAAGTGGAAATGCCCATTATCCATGTCCCATCCATGATAGGACAGTCCAAGGACTCAGGTTGGCCAGACTTTGGAGTTTTGATACAATGTAGGTAGAAACATTCTTGTTCTAGGAAAGGACCAGTTGTACTAATGGCTAATGAGGGTTTACATTTTACTAATACAGTCACTTTAAATTTCTAGTTTTATCAGATGACCATTTTTCCTCTACTGTACAGTTATAGGTTATTGCATAATATGGTGCAGCCAGTTCTTACATGTGGTAACTACAATAGTTTTCCCTTTCTCAGTCCTTTTTTTTTTCCCTCCTTATTTTCACTTGAAGATCCTGCCAGTAACACTTTCTATCCTAGGATGTCAATGCTCATCAACTGCACAGTATCTATGGAGAAGCAGCGCTGCCATCCTAAGCTGCTTGCTCCTGATTTGGACTAGATAACTCCTACTCTTCTATATAAAAAAAGGAGGTATTCTGTAGTTCAAGGTGAACTTGGAAAGGCTGATGACCCTACTTGGGATTTCAGTGCAGCGGAGGCACTGGTATTGATTTATCAAATGCAAGTTAACTGTTAACTTTGCAAGGGCCTTTTCCCTTATTTAAGTGAATGTGGTGAAAATAAACGTTGCAAAGAATACCAAATAAGGTGCAAATGGATGAAAAAAAAAAAAACTTTTTGCTGGCACTTGATTGGATCATGGAAGTCAGAGTTTCACTTTATTCACTATGCGAACGAAAAAATCCCTTCCAAATTGAACAGCCTATTTGGTGTAGTATTCAACCCAATTTATATTGACCACTTACTCCAAATGGTCAGCTCACGAGATTTCTGGCAAGATCAAATGTTTTTTTTTTTTTTTTTTAAACTTATCAAGTCGATACTAAAAAACACTTTCAGTGGTGTATTTAGCAGATGAAAATAACAGAAGTTAATTTAAGATTTACACACATTTTAAAGGGAAATGCTACAGTTTTTAATACAACATACAAATTGCTATACAAATCTCTTTATTATACACTTTTCCTTGTCTAAGGAAGGGTTAGAACTTCTGTCAGGTTTTTAAATTGCTGCCTGTGTCCCCGCTATAGAGATTCACCCTCCTTTTTGTCCTGCTGACCATAGTAATCAGCACTAAAAGTCCAAAATATTGAGTAGTCACCAGAACACATAAAGAGGATTGATCTACCAATGCTCTGGTCACAACTTGGCAAGGAAGACATTTTTACTTTGTCTTACTTTTGGCTGCGTCTACAGGACAGAAAGCGAAGGTGAAAAATCCCCAAAGGCAAAAAAAAAAAACGAACCCCCCCCCCCACAAAAACAAGAACCACCAATAAGCACAACAGAAATTTTATTCATTCTATACGCCAACATTTAAAGGGTAACTCCGGTGTAGTGAAAACAAATGGCAATGAAAAAAATAAAATATAGCGTATACAGCAACGCAAGTCACATTGTAATTGAATGCTAGTAAAAATTACATTTTCTTTTCAATCTGCAGCTGCTGTGATTTTCTGTAAAATGCAATGCAATATGGTCACCTGGAAGTGTTCTGTACACAGATGGTGTACAGAACGTCCCTCCAGATATATAATTTTTCTGCTTGTGTAATGAACGTTCTGATTTTCCCAGGAACTTTCCACCAAGTCAAATTTTAAGCATCCCCTGCAACAAAAAGTTTATTTTTGTTGATAATCCCAAAGGAAATCCCACTAAAGGGATGCAGACCCTGCAATTTTCCTCATTAGAGCCCTGCAGGTGCAGCAACTAATTGATAATTCTTAAACCACTCCCATACAGATTAATTTTACATAAAGACACAAACTGCTACTCCTTAAGAACAAAAAGGTAGGAATCTGCAAGAACCTTTGTTAAAATCCTTGTAATGTACATACAGCCCTGTTCAAATGTTTTGAGAATGACAAAATATTAATTTTCACATGTGCTGCCTCAGTTTTTATGATGGCAATTTGCATATACTCCAGAATGTTGTGAAGAGCGATCAGATGAAATGCAAAGTCCCTCTTTGGCATGAAAATTAACTTAATCCCCCTCCCCCTATAAAAAAAAACAAAACATTTCCACTGCGTTTCAGCCCTGCCACAAAAGGACCAGCTGATAACATGTCAGTGATTCACTGGTTAACACAGGTGTCAGTGTTGACAATGACAAGACTGGAGATCACTCCGTCATGCTAATTGAGTTAGAACAACAGATTGGAAGCTGGAGGGAGGTGTTTGAAATCATTGTTCTTTCTTTGTTACCCATGGTTACCTGCAAGGAAACACTTGCAGTCATCATTGCTTTGCACAAAAGGATTCACAGGCAAGGATATTGCTGCTACTAATATTGCAGCTAAAGCATTGGATCATCAAGAACATCGAGGAGAGGTTCATTTGTTGAGAAGGCTGCAGAGCGCCCAAGAAAGTCCAGCAAGCGCCAGGGCTGTCTCCTAAAGTTGATTGAGCAGAGGGAACAGAGCATCACCAGTACAGAGCTTGCTCAGGAATGGCAGCAGGCAGGTGTGAGTGTATCTGCACGCATGGTGAGGTGAAGACTTTTGGAGAGCCACTTCCCTCTCAAAAAAAAAAAAAAAAAAAAAAAAAAAATCAGGGACAGACTGATATTCTGCAAAAGGTAAAGTCTGGAGTAAAGTCATTTTCTCTGATGAATCACCTTTCCGATTGTTTGGGGCATCGGGAAAAAAACCTTGTCTGGAGAAGAAAAGGTGAGGCCTACCATCAGTCCTGTGTCATGCCAACATTAAAGCACCCCGAGACCATTCATGTGTGGGGTTACTTCTCAGCCAAGAACATAGCCATGAATAAATAATAGTACAAAAACATACTCCGAGAGCAACTTCTCCCAACCATCCCAGAACAGTTTGGTGGCGAACAAAGCCTTTTCCAGCATGATGGAGCACCTTGCCATAAGGCAAAAAGTGATAAGTGACTTGGGGAAACCAACTTCAAAATTTTGGGTCAATGGCCAGGAAACTCCCCAGACCTTACTCCCATTGAGAACTTGTGGTCAATCCACAAGAGACAATGAACAAAACCCCCCACCACAAATTCTGACAATCAAAAAGTATTGACTATGCAAGAATTGGCTGCCATCAGTCAGGATGTGACCCAGAAGTTGACTGACTGCATGCCAGGGTAAATTGCAGAGGTCTTAAAGAAGGGTCAACAGTGCAAATATTGATTCTCTGCATAAACCTAATGTAATGGACCGGTCAATAAAATCCTTTTACACCTATGAAATACTTGTAATTATACTTCAGTATAACATAGTAACAAGATCTAAAAACACTGAGTCAGCAGACTGTGAAAATAGTTATTTGTGTAATTTTCAAAAACTTTTGGCCACGGCTGTAGATCACCCAGAGGGGGAATATTTTTATTCTCAAAAAGCGGAGTTAATCTTTAAACATGTTGGATTTAGATATACTTTTACAGTACAATTCGCACAGTCTGGTAGGTGACACTGTACAGTCATGTCTCTGTGATACAGAGAACTATGGCGCCTATTTTTAAAGGGGGGTGGTGGCAATCATCCTTCCCTTTTTAACTGCTTATTCTCCAGCTTGGCTTCTTAGTGCAATAAGATTTATTGCCCCATAAATCTAACAGGATTTACCAGTTTGTTCTCTGATCTGGGCAAAATCTATTTCCTGACAATGCGCGTCCCCTGGAAATAATGAGCATTTGCCTAGAACAGACGATCTATTTGAAATGAACCACAGATTTGTTACTTTAGCTTGCTTAGCAATCGTTAAGTACAATATTTACAATCAGAGATTTGAATATACTGGGAATATTGCCGGTCCAGCAAATCTTCCTGGATAGTCCCCTGTAAACGTATTATAGTACACAGCTGTTTTGATGTCCCCTGGAATACAGACCAACTATAGCACCAAAAGAAACCATACAGTAGCCAATCAGAACTGGAGGATATGTATGGTAAAATGCAGGAAATGTGTTCATAAGACTTATTAAATCACTGGAGTAACATCAATGAATGGAGGAAAGAAATAGGGACCAAGGGATGTAATGAGAGGGACATCGGAATATACTTTTTACCATTCAAAAATGAAATTTACCAAATAATCCAAGCATCTTCTAATGTATAAATATACCCTTACCTTTTAGAGTTACTTGTTCTGTTGATAGGTGTATGGAGAATGTTCACTAGACGTCTCTACTGTCACTGGCTGTTGACCACTGGGTTCCTGGAAGAGATGACACATTATTATTATAACGTCGAGACTGGCACAAAGACAAAAGGATACAACCTTCTATTTTTTAAAGAGATCGGGAAGCTACAGAGAATTTTAGGTGAGGACACATTTTAAAGTGGAACCTCAAAAAAATATTTTTTATTAAAATTATTTTATGATACCCCACATAAAATCGAACCTTCATTGCATAGTTGCAAGCCATGTGTAAACCCATAACTCCTCAAATAACAGTAATGGTAAACTCTGATTGGACAAGGAAGGAGCAGAAGTACATTGCTGAGCTCATCCCTTTACTTTCCCCTCTTGAACAGCACAGCGCCAAGCATTAGAGCTCAGCTGAGAGTACTGCCCCTTCCTCCCACAGTTTAAAGCAGCCCATAAAGGATTTTTCTTTTTTTTTTTTTCGTTAAAAAGTCAATACCCCAAGCAACACATTCGAGAATGATGGGGGGAGTCTTCCCTGTTGTGTCGTTTTATTCCGACAACAGGGAGACTTTTCTGTCAGATTACACTGATCAGCGCTGCAGGCTATAGCCGGTGGTGCTGATCAAGCAGCAAAAATACGACAGGCCAGGTGTACCAAAGACTATCAGCACATACACACACACAAATGTAAATCGTTTTAAGCTCAGTGTGCATGAGGCCTTATTAGGAATTGGAAGCAAAGAAACCTATGCAATCACGTTATCCCAAATGGCTGAGCAAGCTAACAATCCTATAATAAAAGGCCATAATGAGCTATGAAATAGCATGCGAGTAGATAAAGTTGTCAACCCAAATATGAAAAATCTAAACACGAGGGCAAATTGGTCATTTCTATCAATGCACTATATGTTTAATATGCCAAATTGCGAAACCAGAAGTCCCACATGGATTAAAACACGGCCAGGCTACACTCTATAGTATGAACATCATCATCAGTCATTATGTTCTATCTATTCTATTGATTTGCACAGGGAGAGCAAAGCCAGTTTGAAGCAAAGCCCATTGTTATATCTCTCAAAGATCATGAGAAATATAATCCCAATATTTGGAGAATATCTATCTATATCTGTAGTTTTATCCTCCATATCTGTGACTGATAAGATGAATGATGGAACAAATTACCTAAACAGAGATTCTAATATTTCCTCTAGAAATATAAAGCTACATTATGATTACTTTACAATACTACTAAGCAAGGTGAATGCATACATTTCTGGCAAATATACCTTCCACCAGGTCTACATATTAAATAACTACACAAGGTTTAAAAACAAAAAAAACAAATTGCTTTATTCCAGTAAAACGGACAAGATTGTTAATTTTTTTAATTCACACTCCGTATACGAGTCAGAAAATGCCTTAGCTTTTTAATGAAAGCTGTAGGTCAAAAACGACCATGTTCCCTGCAAAATTCATCCTTGGACTCAACCCCTGCTGCCTCCCAATTGGTCAGGGAGGCAATCTATCATCTTAAAGTATCAATAGGGTGGAAGGAGGGGTAGGGCCAAGTTTGACTTTAAGAAAAATAAAATCTTTAGATACATCAGAATTTTTGGTTAGCGCAGGTGGTTCATACACAATCTTTAGATACATCAGCCGCCTATATATCAGGTGCCTAGATCTCAGATCTACTGATCATTTTGACATGCTGGTTTCACTGCCGGTTAACTTATTCTTATGCATCTTTTCATCATGAGCGCAGTTTGAATTGCTTGGTTATGTGACCAGACATCCCACTCTGGCATTCAAGTCAGGCCTGATCTGTTCAGTTTATTTCAGCACCTTGACCTAAGCCAGACATCACTACTGACCTCCACAGAGACGGCAGCTGTTTGGACGTGTGTGTACTGCGGTATATACGCTCCTTGCATAGCTGTTGTGGCAGGCATATACTAAAAGAAAAAAACAAAACAAACAAAAAAAAAAAAACATTAAAATATTCAAAAGGAAAAATAAAAAATAAGATGCCCTTGTAGCTTTCTCCCCATTTTTTTTAAATCTGTTTCTTAGAAGATTAAGACAGTAAATTATGGTGTATAGTACAGTTCTTCCAGATATTCGTATACACTGGAAGTGTCACAATTAATGCTCCCTCCCCCCCCTTCTACACCTATGCTGACCAACCTGTGAAAGAAAGATGTACAGTAAATATTTCCCTATTTTAAGCCCACTATAGTCTGATCTCATGATCCCCTGTGTCAGTTAGCAGCAGCTGCAGGGGAGAGGAGAGAGCACTCAATTTCAGGAGCAGTGATGTCACCTATAGGCTCCCATGGCCAACCTGTTGGCGCTCCCTCTCCCCTGCAGCCTCCGCTGGCAGATACAGGGGAGCAGAATCACGTGAGCAGATCAGAGCAGGCTGAAATAAGTATACATCTTTCTTAAACAGGTTAGTCAGCATAGGTGTTAGGAGGGGTAGGCAGCATTTTTAAGGCTAGGTTCACATCTAAAGACTTCCTGCATGCCACGTTAGTGAAAGGACCATTTTTCCTGTATTTGCACATTCAGCCACATGGAAACCCCATGGTGCTTTTGCATTAATGAAGTCTCAAGCACTAAATGTGCCTAACGTGATGCATTTTCAGAGGCATGGGGGTGTCATTAAGATTTACCTGTACCACTGGGGCATCTGCTAAAGAGCAGCATGTTTTGCCTGCCGGTGTGGGAAAACATGTGATTTATATGAATTCCTTTACCCACAAGTGTGAACCTAGCCTAAGACTAGTTAGGTTTAGCCTGGCATTCTACTTGAGTGATTACATACAAGTGGGCCAGATTAACTGCGAGAGCTAGCAGCTTCCCATTGCATTCAATGGGGCTGCTTACTCTCAGTTAATTGTGGGAAACCCCACTGGGGTTCTTGCAGCCCATCACAGACAGAGTGTGAATGTACCCTTAAGTACTACTCTCGTGTGTATGTACACTGAGACCAACACACATTGTTCAAAAGAAATGCAACAAGAGGGCCAGGCCATTAGTGAAATATTCCAAAACAGCTTTAATTTGTTTTTCGATTAAACAGAACACTCCAGTGTTTAGGAGGTTCATACTACCCATCCTTGTGATGTGTGGATCTTATGATGCAGACCGCAATTAGCAGGAAAGCTGAAATTGATATTCTAATAGAATATTAAATGTGCAGGCAGTATCCAGCATAGTCAATAGTCCACTGTTGCCCCCAAAACTGCCATGCAGTCATTTCTGCAAAGCATTCATGCAGACAGGAAGAGGTTGCAGAAATGAGATGACAAAGTATAAAAACAAGTTAAAAAGGCAATCAATTATGATATATTGCTTTTGCAAACTAAAATGTCCGTCATTTATGTGTAGTGCTTACCCCCCAAAAGGGTGGCTGGGCATGTACCCAGATCTCCCATGCTAGTACAGAGGCTGCCAATCACAAGTACAGTTACATCCTCTGACGGATATCCAAAATCCTTCTCAAGACCAGTGCTTTCCCACCAATAATCCTTTCAGTCTTCCCCAGTCCCTCAAGCCCAGCTCCAGCTTAGGTCCAGATTTTTGTAAAAATCCTCTTTAGCAATCTTCTCCAGGCCTTCAACCCAACTCCTGCTGAGGCCCAGACTGCAAATTCCCTGCCTCACTAGCTGAAAGTCCCCCCAAACCTATCACCTCCCCCAGCCACCTTCTTCCAGGAACTGGCTGGGGCATGACAAACATTCATATTAGTCAGTTGATTCTCCCTGCCCTATATTCTGGAAGCTTCTTTGAGAAGCAGTTGGAGGAATCAAAACACCCAGCTAAGAACCCCTAACCAGACAAAAGACAGGAGGTCACTGTTCCACCTACTACAGTGAAACCAAAAACTAAATTTAACCCAGCAGCCCAATTAGAAGAGGGCGTTGCATATGTCATTTACATCTACTTAAGTCAGATCAGGCTGCCTGGTCTTCATGCAAACGGCAAGCTTCAGTGCCTTTTCTGGGACGCTACAAGATAGAAGTGTCTATAGGTATCGATACAGTTGTGATTCCTCTGCAGTATGCAATATCAGGTAATTTCACATTTCTATGCAGAAACACGAACAGTCTGTTTACCCAAGACGACCTACGAATGAAGACATGACAGCCAAGGCACCAACAAATTTATGACGTGGGTAGCTATCTTGTCTGTGAAATTCCGGGAAGACAACGTGTCACCTTTTTGAGTCTTGGTCAGCTCTACATCTCTGCATTAGATATCATGTACCTATTGCCATTATAAACTGGGTGTTGTGCCAGCTACCTAATTGTGCCTGTATGCTTGTGTTTCTGAACTGGGTTTGGTGTAGGTTAATTAGATGAATCATAAGTAACAGAGGGGGTTCCACTTAGGTGTGGTATTAACTCTGCGCCACTCCTTGCTTTTGTCAGCGATAAATCTTTTTTAGCTACTGACAGCTCCTTAACGATCTGACCTTCAAAAGATCTTAATTCCCCTGTACCAGTCACATTAATGCTCAAATCTTCTGTTTCTGTATCAGCATGCATGTGACCTACTGAGACCCAGGATTATACTCTTATCTTGGTGTTCACCTGACAGTGTATGGCCAGCTTTAACCTTGACATACTATGAATTTCAGTCGGTTGCTGAAGAACCTGCCAAATTCACTACGTGGGTAACTCTGTTGGCCTGCCCATCATCCTTCAACTCAAAAACAGAAGGAGCTAAGCAGAACACTGTTGGCTAAAAAGGGTATGATAGCCTGGCATGGTGGAGTTGTCTACCCATGCTGTTCGTAGAGAAGAAGGAATCATTTTCCTTCAGCTTGCAGGCATACACACAATGCCTTTATGGTTATGGATGATGGGTGCAATAGGGAGGGAGGTTGGATCTCAGGGAAATCAAACATAACTGGAAAAGGTGTTCTAGCCCTTCTCGAAACCTAGTGTGGAGTCTCTGCAGGTACTCATGGATATGAAGTAGTCACCCAATCCAACTAAAAGGAGGACCAAATTAGCAGAATTTGAGAAGTATAGGCACCCTTAGGGATGGTGTAGATGGGTTAGTGCAGCATGCTTTTGTGTGCATTCAGCTTGCATTCGTGACCAATTTAAGCCGCCAAATCAAAAGATTCTTTTGATTTCCTTCAGAGGTGCTTCAGATCTTGCTAAATTGCTTCCAATTTACTACTAAACTGCATCAAGCTGCTTCGGGCATTTTTCGGTCTTCTGACCAAATGAGGTTTGATGCCAGAAATGTCCCTGTGTACAATGTCTTTTGATTTTAAGCTATCCTACAAGACATAAGCCTATGTGGGTGGAAGAGATTATGTTATCTGAAGCAGCTCAAATATGGTAGTTCACTCCTAGGGAAAAAAAAAAAAAACTGACTTTTTATTCTCTGAATCCACAACTTCTGCCTGGCAGGACCAGGGTCATTGGTTTGAATCCCAACCACGGCACCACCTGCCTGGAGTGTGCATGTTCTCCCCTGTGCGTGCATGGGTTTCCTCCCACACTCCAAAGACATGCTGGTAGGTTAATTGGCTCCTGTCTAAATTGGCCCTAGTATGTGTATGTATGAATGTGAGCTAGGGACCTTAGATTGTACGCACCTAGGGGGTTAGGAACTGATGTGAATGTACTAAATATTATATATACACACACACACAAAACACTATATACTGCTGCATAAAATGATGGTGCTATACAAGTACCTGTAATAAAATACATTTCTGTCCCTGACCCTAATGGGAGTTTTAATATTCCTTGTACATTAAAGAAAGTCAAAAGCAAGTGTGAAACTTTAAAGTGGGAAAAGCAGGTGGGTTGGGATTAGAACACAGGAGCAGCCAGGCCCCAGCTTAAGCTCTCTACAGATAGGACTAGGCAGCACAGTGGGTAAATGGTTAGCACTTCTGCCTGGCAGCACTAGGGTTGTTGATTCAAATCCCAACCACGGCACCTCCTGCCTGGAGTTTGCATGTTCTCCCTGCACTTGCGTGGGTTTCCTCTAGGTATCCTTTTGTGCTCTGGTTTCATCCCACACTTCTAAGACATGATAGATTAATTGGCTCCTGTGTAAATTGGCCCTAGTATATGTATGTATATATGAATGAATGTATGAATGTGAGTTAGGGACCTTAGATTGTACAATCCTTGAGGGTTAGGGACTGATGTGAATGTACAATATAAATATAAAGCGCTGCGTAACTACACGGTGTTATACAAGTACCTGTAATAAATAAAAAAGTAGACCTATCAGTAATTTTCCAAACTTGCAAAAATAAATTCTTGACATGTCAAAATATACAAGAACAGTATTAAAAAAAACCCCTGGATAACATCTGAACAAGAAAAGTGCCATTCTTATGATCATAAAAGCACATGAAGGTATTGCCAGGCAGATTAGGGTGATCACTGAGAGGTAATAAATACCTGTGTTACATTACTTAGCATGCAGGCACTTAACATTAAAAAAATATATCTGATGCTAGGTCCACTTTAAGGAAACGTGGTTGTTATAAAGGAACGGCTGAATAAATTATGAATCGGAGATGCAGCAAGGAGGGCAGGCCTCATTTTGAAAGTTACAAGGAAATCAATCAGCTTCCCATTATCTGCTTTTCTCCTTGAATGTGCATTAAAAAGTCATAAAACATTCAGGCACAGTGCAATTTCATCTTTGATCGTCGCTGAGCCAACAGTTATTTCCAGAAAAGGGAAATTTCTTTTCATCTAAGCCCCACCATACCAAAAATAAGCCACCCATCTTCCCAAAGTTCTAAGACTCATCTGCTTTTGTGATAATGTACCCATTTCCCCAGTGTAAAGGAGCTTATTACACAAATCTATGGAGCGTAGTCATACAGTTTCATATGACACAAACAATGAAGAGGCCACTTACTGTTCCACTGCTGCTTAATGACAGATGACTCATCTGCTGGGTCAGAGGGCTGATCATCGATGCAGGCTGTAGTGACATGGTATGGTCCATGGAGGGAGTTAAGACAGCTCCCTGAACAAGAAAATAACGGGCAGATTAAACCACTGTTCATTCCTACGCATTTATCAAAAGCACAGTCAATAAAAGGAAACTTAATAGATTTACAGAAGTGGATTTTTAATGACCATTGTATCATTGCTCTTTATCAGCATGCATGCGACCTGCTGAGACCCAGGATGATGCCCTTATCTTGGTGTTCACCAGAAATGGTTTGTCATGGTTAAAACTGGCTATACACTATGTGAATTACAGCCGGTTGCAGGAAAATGCTTAGATCAGTGTATTCTAACGGTGAGGGAGTTCTGCTGTCAGAATACAATGACACAGCGGGGAGGATTCCCACATTCTAAATGTGGATGGGGAATACAAACAAAAAAAAAAAAAAAAAAAAAAAAAAAGTTTTTTAGCTCAGCCAGCTGAAGAAAAAAAAAATTTTTTTGAGAGATTTGGAAGAGGCCAAGAGCAATAGCAGGGCTTTTGAGCTATGAATATATATACACACACTAAGATTTCTTTTTTGTAAACCAGAGTTTAGTGTCACTTTAGAGTCACAAGTCCCTTTAAAGCTTTATTCAATATTGTTTTTCTGTGTATTACTTCTATTCCATCCCAAGAGCCAAAATACGTATTCAGGAATAGCTTTGACATGACATCACTTTACGTGCAGCTGCAAATGCCTGTAGGAAATAGTCTAGTAAGAAATAAAACACAGTCAACCGAGTGCGGTTCTCAGAATTGTTGCAGTGCTTATTACATTATGTACACTTTAAATGCTTATCGTTTATTCCTTCATTTACATATATTCATTCATTTGTAGCCCTGTAAATAGTGTGAAATTCAAAAAAAAAATAAATCCTGTAGTCTAATCAGCTTAATCAGATATTCCAGTAAAAGCAAAAACTAATTTACCTTGAAAATAAAGGAATAGGACAGCCATTGATAGATTGAATCTTGACCAGTTCAGCACGTACCAGCCAAGATTTGATCCACTTATGAGCAGGCTGATTGTACCAACATCAATCCATTGATAGACTTGGGTACAACTAGCCTGTCAGAATTTTAGCATTTGATTACTGTAATCATTGTATTCTGCTGGCTGGGAAACAATACTGCTGCATGAGGCATTCCCCCATCAATACTGGCTGAGCCATGGTGGAAAGAAAATCTATTACTATGAATTGCTTTAGTGTGCGTAAACCCAAACACTGAACGTCTTGTATTTGCTCCCTTTTGGTCGGTAAACACACAGTTGGAAGAGTTTGGTTATATCGGTTTAAAAAAAAAAAAAAAAAAAAAGTTGTTCTAATGTTACTGATTGTATTGCCCAGTTGCAAATTTGCCATAAATCTTATGAGCGGATAACGCCACACACACACGTTTGCCTGTGCTGACTGTCAATCATATTGTTCTCAGTTATCTCTGGGGGATACAGAACTACGCCCTGCTATGCTATGGAGAATAGGAAAGGATGGGGTCCAATATGTGACAGCTGAGTAGGCCCGGCCAACGTGTGATACAAGCAAAACTCCAAAAAACTTGGGTCGCTCTGTAAAATCTACATAAAACAGAATGCAATGATATATATTTTTATTACTATAGAAAACAAAAATGTTTAAACTGAGAAAATTTACAATTTTAAGAAGAAAAAAAAAAAAATTTTTGACATTGATGGCAGCAACAAGTCTCAAAAAAAGTTGGGACAGGGCCATGTTTATGACATAGCATCCCATCATTTAACAACAATCTTTAAACATCTGGGAATTGAGATCAGTTGCTGGAGTTTTGGGAGAGGAATGATATCTCCTTGCCTGATATAGGATTCTAACTGTTTAACAGTCCTGGGACATTGAAAATATTTTGTCCATCATGAAATGAAAAATTTGACAGTTGGTGAAAGGTCTGGAGTGCCAACAGGTCAGTTAAGCACCCAGACACATCAACTACAAAGCCACGCGGTTGTCATAGATATGCGGTTTAGCATTATTCTGCTGAAATATGCAAGGCCTTCCCTGAAAGACATCTGGATGGGAGCATATTCTTCTCTAACCAGGATATATCTTTCAGCATTGATGGGGCATTTCCAGATGTGCAAGCTGCTCATTCCATTCACACTACTGCACCCCCATACCATCAGAAATGCAGGCTTCTGAACGGAGTGCTGATAACAAAAACAGAAGGTCCCTCTCCTCTTTAGTCTGGAGGACACATTGCCCATGGCTGGCAAAAAGAAAGTCAAATTTTGATTCATCTGGCCATACAACAGTTTCCTACGTTGCATCAGTCTAATTTAAATGACCTTTGGTCTAGAGAAGACGGCAGCGTTTCTGGATCATGTTCAGATCTGGCTTCTTTTTTGCATGATAGAGCTTTACCCAACATTTTTTTGATGGCACGGCAAACTGTTCATAGGCAGGGAAGTATTCCTGAGCCCATGCAGTGATGTGCATCACAGACTCAAGCTAGGTTTTAGTGCCGTCTGAGGGCCCAAAGATCACGGTCATTCAATATAGGAATCTTAATATTATGTACTGTAGATGATATGTTTAAAGTATTTGCAATTTTACATTACTACGTTAACCTATATAGTTGCAGAATGTTCATTAAGCTCTTCCTTGTTAGTACCTCTTGCGCTGCTAGCTTTTTGTTGCCCTGTCCCAAGGTTTGAGACATGTTGCTGCCATTAATTTCAAATTTACCTTTCTAAATCACTTCAGGACCACCCGCCCACAATGTACTTCGGATAGGTGGCGCCTACAGGCACAGCGTTGCACTTGTAAGTCGCTGGCCTTTTCCAACTTCAGGGCGCCGGCAACTTCAGGGCACCTTTCACTGTGATTGAACACAGGATTTTGTCAGCAGGTCCCGGCCAATGATTCATGGCTGAGACCTGTTGATCGGCTGTGTACAATCACATCCTAGAGCCCTGTATTGACAAACAGGGTTCTGTACAGAGGGAACAGTCTTTGTTTCTTCTCCCTGCAAAGCATGGCAAAGAGACAAACTGATCCTTAAAATGCAGCACATATTACACACATTAACACTTGTTAGGCACACACTTCACCTTGACAGTGTATAGTATTAGCACTGATCACTGTACTAGTGCCACTGGTGATGTCAGGGTTAGTCAAGTCCCACTCCACGTCAGACTGCTTGCTGTCACAATCCCACTATAAGTCGCTGATTACTGCCAAAACTACAAAAATTAAAATTCCAGTATACCATAGTTTGTAGAAACCAATATACACTTATTGGGATTTTTTTTTTTTTTTTTTTTTAACCAAAAGACATGTAGCAGAATACATTTTGGCCTAAATTTATGAAGAAATTCGTTTTTTTTTTTTTTAATTTATTGTATAGGTTTTATAGTGAAAAGTAAAAAAAAAGTTTTTCCCTCAAAATGTAGGGTATTTTTTTTGTTTATATAATAAAAACTAAAAACCCAGTGGTGATCAAATTCAATCAAAAAGAAAGCTATTTGTGTGAAAAAAAATGTATATGAATTTCATTTGGATACAGTGTTGCATGATTGTGCAAATTATCAGTTAAAGTAGCGCAGTGCTAAATAGCAAAAACTGGCCTGGTCATGAAGGGGGTAAAATCTTGCAGAGCCCAAGTGGTCAAAATGGTACATTTTCTCAGTATAAAACATTTTTAAAGGGTTTTCTATTGTCAATAAAATATGGGTTTATGAGATATGCAAATCAGATGAGGTCTGAATGAGAACAGAACAATAATTCTGCTTGCCGGAATTGAGCAGATTTGCATCCTTCATTGACCGCAGTGATGCAAGGTGGGGAGAGCTCTAACAAAAAGGATTTCAGATTTACACTCCCCACCTCAGACACCAAGAGAAAATTTTACCAGCTGAACTCCTAGCAATAATTAAAAGAAATACACGTAAGTTACAGATTAAATTAAATGCATTTTTACATGCAGCTAACAACATCTAGAACACCTTCATATTAGCTGCCTGTAATCTCAAGGACAGTTGGCAGACATTCTAAAGGGTTTTTTTTTTCTTTGGATGGGATAGGGTTAAAAACCTCAGTTTTTTTGCCATGTCCCATTGGGGAAATTTTCTCTCACTTCTTGTATTGCAGACACAAGGTGGTGAGAGGAAATCCAAAGTGAGCAAAAGGTCCTTACAAATCAATGTTACTGGAAGTGTCCACATTTATTGAGTTCAGTCTTTTTCTGGTGACAGTTCAAAATTTAGATTTTTCCTCGCCTTCAGTTACACCGGGACAAATATAAAAAGATTCTTCCTAATTGGGGACACGTACAGCCATAAAAGTCTTAACAGAAGCCCCTTAAAGCGGTTGTAAACTTCAGACGTGAAATATGAACAAAGCACACCCCTCTATAGTGTGTACTTGTCTCAATTAAGAGCACTACGTGTCATTTCTGCCTGATGCTTCGTTTCTCTGCTATCAGCATAAATCACTTCTAACAGGTTCTCCTGACACCAAAGAAAAAAAATGGTGACAGGGGAGGGACCCCAAGCTAAATGACAGCATCAGCTCTGTTCCTGTGTGAAGGGGGTGTGTCTTTCATAGCTCTCCTCACTGAGCACGGCAGAGTAACTTCAGCTCTGCACCCCCCTTTTTTCTAGCAGCTCAGACAAGCTGTATAAAATTCTGGACTTTGAAAGGATATAGCAAAGAGAAGACTGCATATAAAGAGGTACCAATTACAAAGGAGTATTTGTGTAATCTCTGTGTATCACCTGAGGCCAGTCACTTCAATGGGTATATGTAAGGGTTTACAACCACTTTAAGTTGTGCTGCTCCTCTTCCTCCCCCTTACAAATGGACATTTTTATAATTTTTTTTTTACTAAAATAATTTCTGCTCAGGTTTGCCACAGGACTTGGGCCAGAGCACTGTGGCACATCTGACAGTTTTTCCTGGCCATCTGCACATGCTCGGGGTTTTTCCACGCACGTGCAAAGACAGCTACCAGGGGTTTCAAAACCTTCCCAGTCTTTGCACGTGCGTGGAAAATTACTGGAG